GCTGTACTCCAATAAACATCACTGAGGGTTGAAGGACATTTTTGGCAATGGGTCATCCCACTCCAGTGATTCCCACAATTCTTTTGGCCATAAATTGATATATTGGAGAACAGGAGGAGGAGATGGTTACACGTTCCCTATCAGGGGAATCCTCCTTAACTTTGGACAACTCTCTATCCATATTTCTTGGAGAGAATCACAAATTATTACTCCTTTTGTGGGGCAGATTATCTTCAATTATGGTAAATTCTTCAACAACAATTGTCTTAATTTCGAAAGAGTGAATGAAGCAGTACGTAGTTGGATCACTTGTTTGATTTTCTTCCTTTCCTTCCCATCCTATTGTTTCCTCCATCCGCTCATAATCCCCAAGGACCCCAACAGTAATCTCTTCCAAGTTTTGGAGGCCTTGCAGCAGCTCAAATCGAAACAACCTCTTCATTCTTGAACATCCCTCCACCCAAAAGCTTTTAAGATTGAAAATATGGGAGGCAATGTTGCTTTTACTCCTTCCATATTGGCAAGAACAATCAAGTTGGGCAAATTTTGAAGCCATAGCTCTTCAAGATTATTAATAAAGGAGGATGATGATGTGACCCTGTCAACCACACACTTTATATCTTCACACTCAGTAATATAAGAGTACTTCCACTTAGTTGTTTTTTGGAGGGAAGAAATGTCACTTAAGCTTTGAAATTTTCTACATCGATAAATCGACAATTCCTGCATGTCATTTGGAAGCACCACACTATCTTTTCCACCTATCTCACATTCTCTTAAACTTATCACTTTAGAGAAACTAGGTCCAACCTTTGGTTGTCCAACCACAAGCACGTCATTACTCAGTCTCTTGAAATGGTTAGAATGGACGTAATTGTTGAAGTCTTGTAGGCCATATAATTGGGCTTGAAAAGTCTCCAACTTCTTCAATCTTGTTATTTCTTCTCCTTTTATCATTAAAGTAGTTGATTTGTAATATACTACCAACAACTGGAGTTGAGAGAGGTTACTGAGTATTCCTAAACATATCCAACTTTTTCAATGCCTTAAGCTTTGCTAAGCAAGGCACATGTTTCAAATTCTTACAATCACGTAAGAGCAATGTAGTAAGACTTTTTAAACTGTAGATGGAATTAGGTAGACTTTCAATGCTAGTCTGAGAAAGATTGAGAAACTTGAGCCCATGCATGTTTGCAAAAAAGCAATCTGGAATTTCGGTCAATCTCCAATTCTGTTGGAACATCAAGGTTGTGAGATTGGGACAATTTGGGGATATATTTAAAGAAATATCTAAAATTTCATTGTCCATCAAGGAAACCTTTTCAAGATTTTTTGTCCGTTCATGTTCATCTGGTATCTCCTCTAGTCTCATATGAGCTTTAACCATAAATTGAGGACCAATACTTTTGATGCACAATGCCATATCTCTCACAACATCAGCAAGTTAACATCTCCCTCCAATTTTGCTTTCTCTAACAGACAATTTTCTTCAAGCCTATTTAATATGGTCCATCCTTTATCAAGCATTGCTTGTATACTCCCTTTTTCTTCAATAAGCCCCTCATCAATCCATTGCTCAAGAAGTTCATCCCTACTAATTGTGTAGTCTTTTGCATATAATGAGCAAGATAAGAAACAATTTTGGATATTTGAATCCTGCA